GATCAACTTTCCTTTTTGGTGCTTGAAGAATTTTTCATACCTAAGAAGGTGTGAAGTCCTGTTAGGGACTTAATGTGTTCCTACCAAATTCATATGATAAACTACTAACCCCCAATGTGACTGGATTTGGAGATAGGGCATTTACCGAGATAAGAATGGAGCCTATCTCAATACAGCTGGCATTTCTGAAGAGAAAACTCAGCAAGAGTTCAGTGCTCAGGCTCCCAGTGGAAGTCATAGGAGGAGGATGCCGTTTGCAAGCTAAGAAATAAAATCTCAGGAGAAACCAACACTTTTGACATCTTGATGTTGCCCTTCTGATACAAAAATGGAGGGAAAACAAATGTCTTTGATTGGAGCTATCTAGTCAGTGGCATTCTGTTTTGGCAGCACAAGCAAGCAGATGAATGAATATATACTTCTTTGTCTCACTTATGGTTTGTTATTGAATATTTGTAAATTAGAGGTTAAACAGAAGAACCTCAAGTGGGTATAAACTTGAAAACACAAGATTTTTCATTTACAGATGAGAATTAAGGACCCATACCTGCTTTGTTGTGATTTGAACACACAGAAAACCTCCCTTCAAAAATGATTCCTTTCAGTCAGGCATGGTCGTATTTGATTGTAGTCTCAGTACACAGGAAGCTGGTGCAAGAGAATCTTGTGCTCAAGCACAGCCTGGACTACAAACCTGGACCATATCTCAAGAAAACAAAGATTACTTTTCCTATTTGAGTGTGGGAATGTGCTCAGCTGGACTAACACACACACACACACACACACACACACACACACACACACACACACACACACACACACACACACACACACCATGAACTTGACTCCCAACAGGACCACAACAGAAAACTACTCTTAGCTAAAATTTGCAAAAAGTATTTACTTCATTAGATGTTTCAATTTGGATTTTCTCTGATCAAAATGTTATACCTTGTTTTGTGGAAAAAATGTATTCCTGGGCATAGATGAAGTGGGTATCAGGACTGGAAATGTAACAAGAGAGAGATTGGGCTGAAAGATTGTTTATAATAGAATGCATCATCATTTATGCCATGTGCAGATTTTGTGGAAACACTGCACATGGAAATTGAATGGTTTGTTCCTATGGATTTACCTTTCAGTAGTTCTAGAAGTGAAAATTCAGACAGTATCAAAGAAAATAGAGTCACTTTCCTAATTACTTCACATTGGAATCCTTAACTAGCTTCCTAGAATGCCTGGGATTCAAGTACTTTTAATTTGAAGTGAATCAAGCAGCACATAAGAATTTAGAGGAAGCAGGAAAGGGGAATAACTAAAGAGTGGGCAGCTTTTTTTTTCTTCGTATGGTTCAATGGTTTTTTAGAGCATCGTTCATGGGCCACACAGATAATCAATACAAGCAGATGCTCGTGGATAAGTCACTGAGATGCATATGAGAAGTACAGGTATGTCTGTCATGTACCAAATGGTGACGAAGAACTTCCTATGGCCACAGGGCTGGACACTCCCCATCACTGTAGAGGTTAAAGCAAAATGGAGAGGATTTCTTGGGCACTGCAAGTACAAGCAAGCTGAGTATCTGTGCTTCTGGATATTTTTTGTTGAGATTCATATTCTAAGGACAGTATGTTTCCAGAGAAGATAGGCAGAGGGGGGAAAATAATAGGTTATGAGCCTATACTTAGAAAGTGTTTTAAGTTGAGCAGAATAAATATTTGGTACATGTAAGGTTAAATTTCTGTCTGCAAACAGGAAGGCATTATTCATTCTCAGGAGAGGGACAGAGCCATTTGCTTCCTCAGAAGTTGTGGTGGGATGAAAGGCAGTGTGACAGGCCTCTCTCTTTCTGTCTACAAGCTTGCATATACTAGATGAGTTTCAAATGTGCCAATGCAAAACACTTGGGTGGAGTTGTATTGATTTTTTTCCCCTTCTAATTGGCTCTGGTATGAGTAAGGCTTTAAGAGTCATTTGGGATAGAGACTAAATAGGACAAGTGTTAGCTACTTGATCCATTACTGATTTAGATCTCTATGTCAATTTACAACACATATTAGTTATCACACTATTAAGGTACACATATATTGTGTTAATGGAAGGCTGTTAGGTATTTAGCAACAATTTGTGGAATCACAGACAACGTTGAACACAGAATAACTGTGATGAATGAGCAGCATTTATCTAATTTACTTACCACCATGCATGCTCAGGGATAGTGTAATCTGCTCTGCTAGGTCATAAGTAGTGCTACTGAGAAAAGTATATTGTGGAGTTAAAAAAGATACAATAAACGGAGACATATCAAATCAGCTAAATGCTACTGAAAATGTTAAAACTGTGCGAGTTACTGAGATAAAGATAGAATATTAACAGGTAGCTCTTCCCCTGGTGCACATTAGTAACTCTCATTAGTGATAATAGGAGCTTTATGAGCATTGCAGGAAGATTAGGTTCTGAGTAATATACTTAGGGGAGAAACTGTGGGCCACAATGTGTGGCGAGGTTATGAAAATGGAAATAAACAAAGATGAACTGGGAATGCTTGTTTTGGAATTTGATATACCGTAAGAACTTTTGTCTCCTTAGTGTCTTCAACTTATTAAGATCATTCTAGAAAACTAGATTGTCTTTTGAGAAACCTCCATACTGCTTTCCAGAGTGGTTGAACAAGCTTACATTCCACCAACCATGTAGTACAGTTCCCTTTGGCCACATCCTTGCTGGCATTTGTTATTGTTAGTTTTCTTTTCTATTCTTTTCTTTTTTCTCTCCTTTTCTTTCTTACTTTTTTTTTTATTGTGGGGCTTGAACTCAGGCCTGGGCACTATCCCTGAGCTTTTTCACTCAAGGCTATAGCTCTAACACTTGGAGCCACAGAGACACTTGCAGTTTTCTGGTGCATAATTGGAGATAAGTGTCTTACGGGCTTTCCTGCTCAGGCTGGCTTTGAACCATGATCCTCAGATCTCAGCCTCCTGAATATCTAGGATTATGAGTGTGATCCACCAGCACCTGCCCAGTTTTCTTAATAATGGCCATTATAACTAGAGTGAGATGGAATCTCCATGCTGTTTTGATTTTCATTTCTTTTTTGGTCAGAGATGAACATTTCTTCATGTATCTATTGGCCATTCTTCTTGTTCTGAGAAGTATCTCTCTAAGTTTTTAGCCAATTCATTAATTGGGCTGTTGATTCTTTCAGGTTATATTTGGGGGTGGTTAATTTTTTGAGCTTTAAATATATTTTAGATATGAGACCCTTGTCTGATACATCACTAGTAAAGATCTTCTCGCTTTCTGTGGACTTTGTTTTTATCTTGTTAGGTATATCCTTTGCCACGTAGAAACTCTTCAGGATTTCCTGTCTTCCCCTACTTTCGCATCCTGCACATCAAATATCTGTAGTATTTATATATAATACAAAACTAATGTGTACAAGAACTGAAAGGATGACTTCAGAGACTGATGTGGCTTTGGTTTTCTGCCCTTTGACTTTATAAATTGTAGGTTCTAATAGGATAAATAGGGATGCTAACAGTTTTCAACTTTATGGCTTTTCTGAGAATTAGATAGGATAATGAATCTAAAGTGTATGGTATAGGCAAATGTCCTGCAAATGTCCATTATCATAATTAGTGTTGGGAAAAGGCTTTAGTTTAAGCAACTGAATAATATGGGAAAGACTAGAATCCATGTAAGATAGACCCGAGTCTTTAATAAAAATCAAACCAAAGAAAAATAAATTCAAAATACAAAGGTCAAAATTTGCTTCAGACCTATAGTCTTATTGGGCCAAAGCAATGTATAATAAAACAAAGAAACTAGGAAGAAGTAATGGACAATTTAAGACAAACTCTCACAAAGCTTAGATGAGGCTGGGAAGGTGGCTCAGTGGTAGAGTGCTTGCCTCACATGCATGAGGCCCTGGGTTCGATTCCTCAGCATCACATAAACAGAAATGGCTGGAAGTGGTACTGTGGCTCAAGTGGTAGAGTGCTAGCCTTGAGCTGAAGAGCTGAGGGACAGCGCCCAAGCCGAGTTCTAGCCCCACGACTGACAAAAAAAAATCCAAAAAAACAAAAACAAAAACAAAGTGCTTAGGTGTACAGAAGGTATTCTTTTGCTTGACTGCAATATCTACCTTCCTACTTAGAGTTGCAGCATAAAATTTAATAAAAGTAGCATTAGAATTTGGTAAAGTCTACTTTTCTCATCTGTATACATTATTGAAGTTGGTATAATTTGTGCATTTGAATGAGTATTCAGCATTGATTTCTATCTAAAGAGAGAAGCAAAGGTTTTTCTTCCTAATTTGGAGCGTTTGGGTTAGTATTTCACAATGAAAATGCTATGTTCAGCTTGGGATATGAGATGAGTTGAGAATTGAATATCTTGGAGTTGTTTCCCAATATCTCTGAGATCAGGACCATTCTGTAGCCAATGAGGTCTACACGAAGTCCCCCACAGTCTTTCTGAACAAGGTCTAGATGTTTATGCTAGCCATATGGGGTTGATGATTTCTTACTATTGAGGACTATATGGGCAATGCTCAATTCTCCTTCCCCTTTCCCTGGAGATTTTGGTCATACCAGTCCAGTACCATTGGCAATTCTAATTTATTTCAACTTTTCTTGAAATTCACTGAATAGAAGTGTCAGGCTCAGTCTTTGTCCTTCACAGTCTAGACTCTTTTGTTCTGACCTCCAGACTATGGAGTGTACCTTGTAGTCACTTCATTTTCTTTTAACTAATGCTCCTTGCTCAGACAAACTCATTGGTTTATGATCTGATCACACTTGTATCTTATCTATCTATCTAATGTACAGTCTTCACTTAATCCTCAGCCTCTCTCTTTTCAGCTGTGATGTTTAATTAACTTCTGACATTTCTATTTTATTTTCTCTCCTTTCACTCCAGTTCTGACTACAGACTTAACATTCATGATTGTCAGCAAGAAATAGCAGTTTCCATTCAGAAAGACCACAATGAACCAAATCTTATGACTTCAAAGCACTTTATGACTTTACAGAACATTTTCAAACACATAATATCTCATTTGCTCCTCACAACAACCCTGTGAGGTAGGTATTGGTATGAACATTTGACAGGGCAGGGAATAAAAATAGTGTTGAGATACATGTAGGCATATGACTTAGAATTCTACTACTATTTTAATAGTGAGAACCTTGAGGCTATGTGTGAAAACTTGAAGGAAAGAAAGTTGTAAAAATGTGGCCTATTACTTTTCTCAGAGGCACTAAAAAAATAACACAGAATCCCACACCTTTTCTCAATTCCTTTTTTGCCTGGGCTTTTCTTATTTTTCCTGCTTTTTAAAAAAATATTTATTTACTTTCCGTCTCTTCCTTCACCTACACAAAATATTCATTTCTACTAGCATATTTTCTTGAGAGCCTAAATTTAAAATATGGAAGAAGTTTTTGGAAGAAAAAGTGGTCAGCATTATTTTTTGTGATTATAGCATGTTTCAGTTTGAAATGGAAAGGTAATTAAGGAAACAAGTTTTGGGTCAAATGTGTTGAATAACTAAGCTCCATTTTACTTCACTTTAAGTTTTGAAGAAAAAATATACTACTAGTTTGGAGAATAAGGAGCCAGGAAGATAAACTAAGCAAATCAAAAATAAATCTACTTTATTATATTCTAAGGAATGAAAAATACTTGTCTCTATTATGTAACTATACAGTTCTATTATTTCTCCTAGAACAATTCTGATATGTTTATTTGTGTGTATCTCTCAGGGAGAACTGTCCTTATAAATCAAAGACAGAATCTCTTTTATTAGCTTAGCTGTCAACATTAGCTCTAGGAGGTATGCTTGTACACCTGCTAAACAGAGGAATGAATGAATGCTAAATGAATGAATGCATAGACTTAAGCCTACCTCTGCTTGACAACAATATTTTCTACTTTGAAATTTCACAAATAACCAGTAACTCATGAGATTTCTCCTGGAACCCAATGGACAGCAGAGGGCTTCTACCCTGGTACCTACAGATGGAATGGAGCATCCCACATGTCATCAAATGAGGGCATTCAGGCTGGAAGTGGTAGAGAATGGGGGTGATGGTGAGGGAGAGGGCAATGCTATGAGCATGGCAGCAGAGGCTGGAACAGTACCATGGATGAGAAGAGAAAGCCAGGCAGAAGCCAGATATGCAAACCAAGGTCATTTGGAGGAGCCGAAAAGGGGTCTGGAAGTCAGTAGTAACGATGACCTGTCCAGAGGTGAAAGGCCTTTTAGCGAGGGGGCAGAATTGATTGTCCTTCCCACCCCATTGGATCCTAAAAGGCTCGTACTGGTCCAGATGAGCTACTTTACCAGATTCTTTTCCAAATCAAATGCTTATTCCTTGTGAAAGACAGCCGGGGAATATTGTTTTTAACACAATGATCACAACTAAATAATGAAGTCTTGGACCTTATAGAATTTGTAAGAATTCATCTCTCTAAAGGAAGAAATCAATCATTATTTTTATTGTATTTGTATCATGCCTAAAGTATATAAAAAGTTGGCAAGCATAATTCTGTATGATTGTCATAGGCCTGAATTAAAGATATGGGGAATCAAGCATTATGATATTTGGCAGCATCTTTTTGAGCCACGTGAAAACTGTCAAATTATAAAATGCATATAACCTTTGAACCATTGTTTCTACTCCCTATAAATCCTCTATTAAAAAGTATTCTCACAAGATCATGTATAACAGTATTTAATAAAACACTGTTAATTAAAGATAAATCAAAGGCAATAAAATCATAAAGTATTCAAGATAAATGCAGTCTAAGTATATATTAGAACATGTAGGTATTGAGAGAAACCAAAATACAGCCATATGTAACGACAGATAAGTGACTAGTATAACAACTTAAAAACTAAAAATATGGGATCTATAATATTAGATATATATGTATATTGTTCTTCCTTTTTGAAACATTGTAGTGTTATTTTATAAATTTGCCATGGGCAAGCATGAAGAATCCAAGGACTACATACAAGTATAGCTCACTTATTGCTTTCTCAAAGAAAGTATGTGCATAAACTGTAAAATAGCCATAAAAGTCTACAGCTGACATTTCTAAACATAGCAGAAAAAAATGGCCCAAGCTTTTGATAACCTCGGGTAACAGAAAACAGCATGACTGCTCAGTTTATAGACTAAAAACACGAAGTTCTTTATTTGCCAAACTCAACTAGAGTTAATGTTTGGCAGCTCAGAGAAAGCCTCAGGGAAGAGAGATAGGGAACAAAAGATAAAAAATAAAGATAGAGATAAACATAAAGAAGAGAAACTAAAAGAACTCAGCTGAAACTAAATGGAGTAAAAGGAGAATGAGTGAAAGGTAAGCAGTGGACAAGAAATCATCTTAAAGAAATAAATGGACACAGAGAAGAAAGAGATATGCATGATTCTGTTATCTTAATATAATATTAAAGCACTAAATAACACCAAGAGAAGATACTGAGAAGGCATTCAGTACTCTGTGCTATCCAACTTTGCACACATCACAATTATACAACATTCTAATAGCTGATATTGGTAATGATAACCCTAAGTTATCCAAATGTAAAACTCAGACATAGTATTAAGTTAAAACAATTGTTTTTTTGTTCAAAAAAGCATTGGTATTATCTATATTTTAACGATTCCAACTAGGATTTTGGCCAATCTACATTTTATAATTTGATTTAAAAAATTTGGTCTAAAACAGACCCCTGAGTGAATAGATTATGATCCTTGTATCAATTATTTCCATAAATGAGCACATACATAATCTCTCACCGAGGATACAGGAAGAGAGGGCTTTTGATTCTGAAAAGTTAACTGGGGTTCCTTATTCATCTCCATAATCCTGTCATTCTATTTGTGCACCCTTGGTCTAGGCACTCAATAAAGTATTTATGGCATGAAAATTGATCTTATCTCACATTTTATTTTTTAAGATACAATGTATACAGCATTAAGTCTACATCCTATAGACAAGGACCTTGTTATGGTCTGTTTTGTTGTAGATTCAAAAGTCTAGGATGTACAGTATGACTACTAAGTAAATAGTTAAACCAAAGCCTCCACTCCTATGAGCTAATTAGTCCTTCAAGCCTCCTTGGTCCAAATTCCTATACATGAGGATTTAGTTAGTTCACTTAGTGGATAAAGAGGTTGTAATTGCTTCCATTCATAAACCTGATTTTTCTTTAGCCCATTGAAATTGACTCAAACAAACAAACAAACATACATATATAATTTCCTGGGTGAAATTTTTAGAAAAAAAGTACTCTTCAAAAATAGGCAATGAGAGCCAGGCACCTATGGCTCATGCCGAGAATCCTAGCTACTCAGGAGGCTGAGATCTGAGGATCCAGGTTCAAAGCCAGACAAGGGAGGAAAGTCCCTGAGACTCTTATCTCCAATTAACTACCAAGAAATCAGAAGTGGCACTGTGGCTCAAGTGGTAGAGCACTCGCCTTGAGCTGAAGAGCTCAGGGACAGCACCCAGGCCCAGAGTTCAAGCCCCATGATTGACAAAACAAAACAACAACAACAAAAAGGCAATGAGATTGAAAAAGTTGTATACTTTACTCTTTGTTTTACTCCAATTTAGATATTCAATTAGGACAGTTTCCACAAAATCTCCATAAGTCAATGCTGAATTTCTCAACCTTTTTGCCAGATCCAGACCATAATATCTAAACTTATTTATTGCAAAGCTACACACAGAAATCAGAAATGTGTGTGTGTGTGTGTGTGTGTGTGTGTGTGTGTGTGTGTGTGTGTGTGTTTAAAGCCTAGTTTTTCTCAATATACCCTTAAAGGTTTTTAAATTGTTTCATATCTGGTCAAGTTGAGATTTTTAAGAACTTTTTTCATTTTTCATTTTTAATACGAGTGTACAACTTGATTTTTTCAAAAAAGTCAACAAACTGCAAGCACCTGTTAATAAAGGTCTTAAGTTTTAAAAAAAAGAAAAGAAAAGAAAATAACATCAGAAACTATAAACTTACCTCCCAGGCTTCCACTTCCTTTTTCTCCCTTTTGTCCTTTTGGTCCAGTATTTCCTTGCAAAAAAATCATAAAAAAAAAATGCAATTAACAATCCTCCCTCCCCTTCCCTCCACTCCCCTCCCCTTTCCTATCCTTTTCTTTCCTTCCCTCCTCTCTCTACTTCTCTTCCCTCCCCCCACCCTCTCTCCATTTTTAAAGGGGATATCCAGGAAATAATTCTTTAGCTCCAGCAATCAATGTTACATTGTTTTTGAGACAGTGACTTACCAGCTTTAACTCAGGAACCTTCTATCTCTGTTTTCTGAGTGCCTGATTGCTGTAATTTTAAGCCTGAATTTCCAGGCCTATGTCCAGTAAGACACATTAATGGTGACAATTTCATCTCATGAAAGTAGTACTGCTCTTGATTATTAATTCTTCCTCTAAGAGAAATTGCTGTCTTGCAAGTAATTAAGTTCTTAGTATAATTGTAGGACTGGTTTTAGTGTTTTCTGTGTCAAAGTTATTGTAGTTTTTAATTTCCCTTACAAAGTTGGGAAACTCTTTTTCATCCAAACTCCATCAGAAAATATCATTTTTCAAATTCAGTCTTTGAAATAATACTGATGATTTAAAATCCTGTCTTGAATTGATCTGTTCTGATACTTACTAGTTATGTATGGATACTTGTAAACCTTTTCAATCAAAGTTTATTTTTCTGTGTAATAATAAAACACCTCTCACTGTAGAGATTATTTGAAAATTAATTGCCACATTATTACAGCGTGTATTCATAAGAGACTATAGCTCCACTTATATTATTTCTCTATCTCTCACAGTTTAGTTAGAAATGGAGTGTGTGTATGCGTGTGTGTGTGTGTGTGTGTGTGTGTGTGTGTAGCTTGAATTCATTCTGACTTAGGTTTCTCCCTGGAGGCTTTAGCCTTAGAGCCTTAGCTCTAGTACTTGAGCCTCAACTCCACTTCCAGAATTTTTCTGGTTAACTGGAGTCTCTCAGATTTGTTTGATCTATTGAGATAAAAGTCCTCAGATCTGGCTTGAACTGAGATTCTCATATCTCATATCTTCTGAGTTGCTAGGGGTATAGGTATGAGCCACCTGTGCCCAGCTTCAAATTTCCAAAAATGTCATATAGTGTGTTGTAAGTAGCATGAGACCTAAAGCATTTAAAAAAGTATAACTTACTCTCAACTGAAGTTTTGTTTTGAAGATTTAGCTGAGGTCCAATCATTATCAGAACAACATGGTGAAATTTTCTAATTCTCATATTGCTTTATATAATATGATTATATTTTATACCATTACATTCACTTTTAAACTGTGATGGAGTGAATTCAGGTACAAGTAAATTTGAAAAAAAAGCTATTACTAAATATTGCAAAGTACTCAAAAACTTCCTTATTATTTTAGTTGTATGCTTTTATGAAGTAGGCTGAGTACCATATTTTCAGGTTGTTCAAAAGGAAAAGACTTATACATTAAAAACAAATAGGATGGATGAAATTAAGCCAAAGTGGAAGTGATTATTTTAGTTGCTACAGAGATAATATATAGCTTAAGGAAAGATATTGCGTGTAATCCTTGGAAGCCTTTTGCTTTTCTAGCTTTCAGTAAGCATTTATTTTAATAAAACAGAATAAAGAAGAAAGTGATAGAGGGAAGAATGAAGGAGGGGTAGGAGTAGGAGAAGAGGGAGAGGGAAAGATGAAAGCTAGGAGGAGTGGAAAGGAGAAGGAGAAAGAGAGAGGGAGATTTCCTGCTCCCATTGCAGGAAGTCAGAGTGAAAGTCACCAATACTGTGAATCTGTTTTTACACAATCATGTTATAGATTGTTGAGAACAGAAATATTCAAGTCACCTGGCTTATTATGTGGTGTTAATTTCATGATAGATTACATTACTATAAGTATAAAAGTCCAAAACAAAAAAATTTATATTTTCTAGGAATATTAACTTATCACCTATATTTGAGATTGACCATAAACTACTACACCAATTTTTATGTTAAGCTTAGAAGACAAATAAAAAATTATTTATTCTTTCTTCCCAGAACTACATTGAACTATCTTGGAATCTGCAAGTAGATTTGGAATTCTGTCAAATGTAAAGTTTTAAACATATTTGTCTATTGAACTCAAATTGGTTATGTAGGAAACTAAGACATATAGATAATTTCAGGAAAATTACCAAACAAATATTTTCCCACATGTTGCTTAAGTGTCTGATGAAAGCTAGATGCTTTAGAGGTTTGGGGTGTATAAATACACCATGCAAATACAGTGAAGCAGGGTTATAGCGTGAGGGAGGGACATACAAAGCAACAAAGAAATCATCTTATAAATATGTTAGAAACCATCACAAGAAAGAAAAAAAACATTTGAATCCTTATGTTGGGGTTCATTTAGCCTAACATCAACTTATCTGACCATTTCTGCTTGTCTCAGACATATACTAGTTATTGCAAATAAGGGAAACCATGGGACCTATGTTTCTTTGGGTGTACTTTGTGGAGGGGAAGGGAAAAAACAAATTGTTTAAATAGGGATACAGGTGGACCCATTGCAACAATGAGATGCACAAGTTGTTTTGTTGAAAACGAACTTTACAACTTTGGCGGGGGGGGGGGGGGGGGGGGGGGGGGGGGGGAGGGAATGGGAAGGGATGGGAAGGGGAAACAAAGGAGGAGGCTACAATGCTTGATAAGAAATCTACTCATTACCTTGCCCATGTAATTGTAACCCCTCTGTACGGTATTTTCACAATAAAAAAAAAATACATAAAATACTAAAAAAATAAAATAAAATAAAATAAATACACCACTCACTCCAAGTAGTCATATCTGCAGTTCAAAGACTAATTGCAGGCTGTAGAAAGTGGCTAGCCAATTTTTCATTGAGGTAATTGATATCAATGCTGATCATCTACCCTGATATTATCAGCACTACTGAACTGCATTTCTTGAAGCATGTACAGTTCAAAACATGGATAACACCAAAGCCAGTGAGCATGGGCTACAATATGGAATTCCCACTCATTGCTTGTTGAAATGCAAAAAAGTAGTGTCAATTTGAAAGATAATTTATAAAGCTAAATATACATTTACCGTGTGAACAAGCAATGACATTTCCATGTAACTGTTTTATTCTCTTTCTGTGTGTGTGTGTGGACAGAACTCAATTTCAAAGTGCTTCAGATAACAAAATAAACTATATGTACTACTATCCATATGATAATGACTTTGAATAAAAGTAATTTTTAACTTTGAATATAATCCTATGATCCGACATTTATTTGTGTATTCGTTAGCAAAATACACAGTGTTATAATACCTGTCCTCCCTGTCTTTCCTACTTGTCCTGGGAATCCTTTACTTCCAGGAAAGCCAGTTGCTCCACGATCACCTTTTTGACCTGGAGGACCTACATGATCAATAAAGAAAACAAAAGTTTGTTACAATCCATTTTTTACATTGCATCTATGGAATTAACATAAAGTGAGTCTCCAAATGGAGGATAATGCTACTAAAAAATAATATGAATAATAAGAATAAACATTAGTATTTTGTTACATTGTAGGTATTCAATAAATAACATAATGTGGGAATATTAGAAACACATGAGAAAGATCAACCTTGGAGTGTTAATGTTGTATAATCAGCTAGGAAATTTCAAATGGTAGACTTCGTAATGGCTAACAAGATAATTTGCTAAAAACTTAAGATTTTTAAGAATTTTTAATATTTTAATAATTTTAGGAATTCTTTTAAGAATCTAAAATTTCCTTTAATATTTCCCTTAGGAAAGCACAACACAACAAAAATTATGTGTATTTACTTAAAAATTAGAGTCCTAAAACTGGCCATCCATAGGCAGAAAACTAAAAATGGATTCCTGTTTGCCACCATATCCTAATACCAATTCAAAGTGGATCAAAGACCTCAAATGTGAGACCCAAAACTGAAATGACTGCAAGAGAGAGTAGGAGAAATATTAGAATTTATCGGTATAGGTAGAAACTTCTTGAATAGAGTACCTAGAGCAAAACAGATAGGAGAAGGACTTGACAAGTGGCTCTACATCAAAATTTAAAGTTTCTGTGCAGCTAAGGAGACAGTCACTAAACTAGAAAGACAGCAAACCAACTGAGAAAAGATCTTTACCAGCAATATATGAGACAAAGGCCTAATATCCAATATATACAACCTCAAGAAACTAACCCCTCCCAAACCTAATAAGCCAATCACTAAATTGGCAAGAGAGCTAAAGGAGTTAAGGGAAGAAGTAAGAATGGCAAAGAAACACTTGAAGAAGTGCTCATCATCCCTAGACATAAAGGAAATACAAATCAAAACAACTCTGAGATTCCATCTCACCCCAGTAGGACTTGCCAGCATTGTGAATTCTAACAAATGATGGTGGGGATGTGTGGAAAAAGGAACCTTACTGCACTACTGGTGGGAATGTATACTAGTACCACTCTGGAAAGCAGTGTGGAGGTTCTTCAAAAAACTAAACATAGACCTTCTCTATAATCCAGCCGTACCACTCCTGGGTGTCTACCCTGAATGCCATGAGCCAGGAAATGATAAATACACCTGCACATCCATGTTCATTGCCACACTATTCACAGTAGCCAAGATCTGGAAACAGCCCAGATACCCCACAATAGATGAGTGGATCCAAAATATGTGGTACCTATGCACAATGGAATTTTAAATAGCCATTAGAAAAAATAAAATAATGCAATTTGCAGGGAAATGGATGGAACTAGAACAAATCATGTTATGTGAGGTAAGCCATCCTTAGAGAGACAAATGGTGCATGTTCTCTCTTCTATGCGGAAATTACATCTAAAATGCACTGGAATATGACAAATGATACAGGATAATAAATACTCATACACAGTAAGACCAAAAATGGATACTGAGAAACACATAGGTGCCTAAGTACGCTCTTCATATTTACATAAAATAATATACATAAAGAAACAGACTCCAATATATGAAAACAAAAAAATTATGATTCTGGCTTCTTTATGTGGTGTATTCAGATTTATATCATCAGGAGGGAGGGGAGATACAGAACTTAAGGGAAAGGGGTGAAAAGCTTCAGCATAAGAGCTCACTGGACATTGATGAAATTGAACTATCCAAACCATGGGCAGAGACAGGAGGAAGGCACTACAAGATAATGAGGGAACAGAAAACACCGTATGAAAGGAAATGTACCTGACTGTATTCCCACTGTACACCACTCTATAATAACAATAAAGTAAATTTACTTTAAACAATTAGAATCCTAGTTCTTGAATAAAGTGGTGAATCTGTTTTGTACAGAATCCAATGTAATTCTAAACCATTTAAATATGAGTGCAGATAGGCACAACACACACTCACAAGTTTACTTATAGGTATACATTACGTATACATATATATATATATATATATAGGGTTTATACTTATATTAAACTTATTTATACTTATATTTAAACCATTTTTCTCTACTTCATAGCTGTACAGTCATCACTGAAAGTGAATATAAAAACAATATTGTATGACTTCAGAACAAATGAGGACTGGAAAAGAGAAGGTATTTGGATCTGTTTTAGAGTAGTGGAGAAGCCAAAGCCATTCTGATAATGGTTGGTTGGGGACATTACAATGCTACTCAGAAAGTGTGTGTGAGTTACATTTTCCATAGGCGAATGAGGAAATTCACAAATAAATCCTGTGAGATACATTCAGAAATAAATCAATAGACTATTATGGGGAAAGTTTAAGCAAATTCATCCTGGTTAGTAGTATCATGTAATTGATGGTTTAATTATGCTTGAAAAATGACCACTGAATATAGCACCTCTGCAAAATTTTATTTTAAGAGACTAGATTCTCTGGGCCTTTCAGGTAGCAACTAGCTAAATATCTACGGTAATCTGTAGCAAGGATCAAGGATTTAGTGCTACAAATCTTCCATTTTACAAGTAGAAGGACTAGAGTACTGCGGAGATAAAAATCACATGCATAAGGTTCATCTATGTCTTCATATGTAGGTGGAAAATTAATGAACTGGCTAAAATCACAAAGTAGAATTATTTGAAACTGACCATTGCATACTCCTTATTTCCTGGCTTCAGTAATAAGGGAATCCAGCAATATGACAGACAAACTGAATATGAAATTAACTAGGAAAGAACCCATTAGGAGAGGAGGCTTAGAATTTTGAATGTTTTTCACCAAACCAATGGCAAGCTGATAGATACTTGAAGGATTTGTATTCTCTCTCCAGCAAATCACTTACTAGCTTGCTCACTCATTTTATGAGGTGACTGGACAATACCTATTTGTGCAGATAAACAATACCAATAGCATCCTACTAAGACCTGGCAAAAAGAAACTTTGAAAATGTGTTGTTAAGGCATTAACAAAAGCTGAAACATTTTAAACCCTTCTTCGTACCTCATATATCAGTAGTTCAAGAAGAGCTGCAAGATCAGCTACCCAAGAGAGTATGTGCACAGCAAATATAGCCAGACTAAACTTCTCTAGTTGAGGTATAAACTTTTGACAAATGCAATTCATAATGGAGGAACAGACAGAGTCTTAACAGTAGTAGCTCTGACAGCTATTATAATCTTGGTTACTCCTCCCACTTATGGCATCAACACAGCATTATTAAGATCTATTGAACCATAGTCAAGTAGAAGGGTTTTTCTTAATAAAAATTCTCATCTGACATCACTTCCCAAAGGCACATTAATATCAAACAACCACCTGCACACACACACACACACACACACACACACACACACACACACTCTTTCTTCCCCTCTCACTCTTCTCCCTCTCTCTCTCTCTCTATATATATATATATACATATATATATATATATATATATATATTCCCTCTGTACATCACCTCTACAATAACAATAAAACAGATTATCTTTAAACAAATCCTACTTCTTGAATAAAGTGTTTGGCGAATCTGTTTTGTACAGAATTCATTGTAATTCTGTTTGTCTCTCTCTCTCTATATATATATGTGTATAACATATATGTAATTCTATATACATACATATGTGTATGTTTGTTTAGATATAAATCTTGATTTATACATATATAAAACATATACATATCTACACATGTATATATGTTAACATATATATATGAACATACACATACATACGTTCGTTTTAGGAATGATGATATGAGGGTCATATAGGTGCCTTTTTTAATTAAAAATTTTTTGTTTTGGTTATTGGGCTTGAACTCAGAGCCTGCACACTGTCCCTGAGTTCTTTTGCTAAAGGCTAGCACTCTACCTCTTTGAGCTACAGTGCCACTTCTGTTTAAGTGGTTAATTGGAAATAAGAGTCTCACAAAGACTTTTCTAACCAGGCTGGCTTTGAAGCACAATCCTCAAATCTCAGCCTCTTGAGTAGCTAGGATTACACTTGTGAGGCACCAGTGCCTGGCTTTCTGTTTTCAATTTTCAAAATTTCTTTTTCTATATGTTGAAAATGAACAACAAAACTTGTGAGTGGGGATGGGAAGGAAAGAGAGGCAGAGAGTAAGGGAGGGGGTGACACTGCCCAAAAAGAAATGAACTCTTTACCTGACTAACATAATAGTAACCCCTCTGCAAATCACCTTTATAATAACAACATTAAAATTTTTTCTTTTTTCATGTAACCTCAACTGGTCAATATATTGATCAAAAAGAACATTTTTATATAAAGAAAGAAGGGTTTTTCTTAATAAAATGACATACAAGATATGTTTTGGCTGCACAAACAATTGTAGTTATAATGAAACTATGCAATATATTTCCTACTTTGAAAAATATGCAAGGTGTTTTATTTCTACTCAAACATGACATATTATTGCTCATTTTAATGTTTTGTAAGAAAAGAGAGTTCATGATTTTCTCTTCTGTTCTTCTATCATCTTCTTTTAAAAACATTGTTTTCAAGATGAAAGCATATACAGAAACAAATAAGTTGAATCAAATTTTCTCTAAAAATACAGAAAGTAGCTGACAGTAAAGGTAAAATATTTTAAAATATTTTTTTCAGATTTTTTGAGTTTTAGAAGATATATTCAAGGACTACATAAGAAATATATTCCAATATTCCTCAGCACACATTATTTCATTTTATATCTGAAAATAAAAAGATTTTAAAATGTATTCAATGTTAAGGTGGTGTTCATGTGGCTCATTACATACTTTTGTAGTCTATGGTAAAATGACACCCCTTAGTATTGTAATTCCACAAAGTAACTATGACAAAAACATTTAATTTTCTTTGAAAATCAAGAATTGTTTCAGGAATTTCTATGATTACAAAATTATGCATAATTAGACTGCTTAATAGCTCCTCAAACATGCCCATACATGTTCATACAATCACAGAGAATACAAGAGCAAATGAAATAGCTATTTTCATTTGTATACATGCAGGACTGCATATTTATATACCCTCATTGACTAAGATTAAGTAGTTATTATTACCATACCTATCCGACCTGGAATGCCTGGTAGACCAGTTAGTCCAATGGGTCCTCTGTCTCCTTTTTCCCCTGGGGGTCCTGGAGGACCTTTAAAAAATTACAATTACTGATGATTAGCATAGATTACATAGATTTGTCATTTATCAAGACAGTGATATCAAAGACCAAAGTTTCTTTCTGTTGTGCAATAACAGAAAATAAGTAAGACTTTATCTTCCTAAAGAACACTCTGCAATTGAGATGCTGTAATGCCTTCTACTGATAAGGATGAAAGCCTTAAATTAAACTTCTCAAATATGTCTTAAATATCTGTATATGGATAATGCTTTCCTAGGTTCTAAGAACCTAGAGGGGAGTGAAAAGATATCACAATGGCACAAAACCACACTAGTATTATGTACATATTGAGCTGGTATTGCTTTATTAAGTTAGACAGGATGTCAAAAAATTTATTACCAAGGCCTTATATTTGTGATGCCCTGAAAAGAAACAAAAATTCATGTACTTTAGACAAACAAATGCTTTATTGTTGGAACTGGCCCTGCCTGCAGGTGTCTGGCAGAGAGGTGAAGGGATTCTGAGGTAGGACAGAAGATTGCAAGCTTTCTCTCTGTGACTCAATGATTGACAAGAATCAGGGGAACAAAGGGAAGAGTATAGTGTGAGAAGATAAAGAGGGAAAGAACATTGAGAGTTGAGAAAGTGGTGAAAGGGCAGCTACAGCAAACAAATAAAGAAAAGCAGCAACAATGAACCACCAAGGAGGTACACGGGACAAAGAAGACAGCAATGTATTATTTTGCTGAGGACTTCATAGAATGGAAACTGAAGCTACAACCACAAAGCAAACAAAAAAAAAAAGCCACAGTGCTACCATACCTAAAATCTAATCCAAGGATTTTATCTGACAGTGACACTTTAGCATGACTCATAATTCACTGCATTGCCCATACTTATCTCTGAGTGTTATAGCCAGGCACTATCTTGAGAGAGGGTCAATTTTTGGCACAGAAGTTATTCTAGGAATCTGAACATAAAAAATTCTAGGTTAAAGAGCTCAGAGAGTGTCTTCCACAATTTCTGGGTGGGACATGATAAGGAGAGTCAGCCATGGAGTGAAAGAGAGAGTTGGAAATGGACCTACTAAGTTTAGGCAGCAAGGAGTTCATTTTGTGGAATTGAAAAACAGAAAAAATACTGAACGGTAAAAGAGAGAAACGTTCTTACTTACAAAGGTAAATTTATCTGAATAGTAGCAGAAAAAAAAGGAGAATCGGGGATTAGGCTGTCCAGGGACAGCCAGGATATAAACAAAACAACCTATCTGAAAAATAACTAAAGCCCAAAAGAGCTGGGGGTGAAGCTCAAACAGCAGAGAATCTGCAAGGAAAGCCAGATGCTAGAAAAATAAATTCTTGCCCTCTAAAACCCCGGGTACTGCATTGAATTTAATCAACCACTTACATAAAAAGCAAACAAAACAACAATAACAAAATAAAATCTGCGTGGTAGCTTAGAGCATTTGCCTAGCACAGCAACTCCCTGGTATCCATCCCTGGTGCTCAGAGGCAGGGGAACTACATTTGTACAGAGCAAGAGCCCTTTTTTGTCATTAGTCCCTAGTCAATACAGTATAGCAACTGTTATATGACATCTACATTGTAACAGTTATCATGAATAATCTAAAAATTATTCAAAGCTTATAGGCTATATATGTAGATTATATGCAAATAACACAGGACTTTATATAAGGGACCTAGGCATCCATAGATTTTAGTAGTCATGAACATCCTATAAACAATATTCTAAGGGTACAAAGGAACAAGTCTATTCAGAAATAACCAGAGAGAGAGAGACAGAGAAACAGACAGACACAGAAAGACCTGATGTCTTAGAAATGTATATAGAGTAAAACAATTAAACAATCAAGGATCACACACAGAAAAGAAAATCAAAATGTCTCACTAGATGAATTTTCCAAAGATGGATTCTAAGCAAATGGAAGATGATCCCAGATTAAATTGAGATAAATTTAGAAGCAACAATAAATTACCTCCTGAGCAACTCTGAGTAAATATCATTTGTAAAAGTAAGAATGATAGTATTGACTAAATTATTGGTTTAAAATTCTCACAATATAGCAATGAACTGACTTCATAAATATAACCAAACCAAGCATGAGGCTTCATATAAGGTATGTTATCTATTAAGGTAAGTAATCTATTAAGCTGTCAATCAACCTTAGAATAGATTAAAATCAATTTTAAGAGAAATAAAGAAAAACAGAAGAAAATAGAAATACATTGAAAACAACCAAACTATTTTTGGTAACTTTAATGAACAAAAACATTCAATAAAAATTTCAATCAATCCAGAAGTCTAAAAAAAATCAAAACAAATGAAAAAAAAACCTGGGGGGACAAAACAGGAAAAAAAACAGCACCAAAATAAGATAGTAGAAAGAAATATCCTGAAAAGTCATTCAATGTTATATTACACAAACAACTGAACAAACAAAAAGATAGTCTTTATATGACAAACCTAAAACAAAGGATTTCAGAAGGTTGAAGGCAATATACTCAAAAATTGTATAGCCAAACATGGAATTTAAAATGCCAAATATCTGCAATGTGTCAGCACATCTTGACATGTCTTTCTGGAAGGAGAGTTTACCTTGAATCAAAGTGATATTTTTCAGTGTCTGCGAATGTTCCCAGTCTTTCAGTCTGAGGTCATTAGTGATGTTGTTCAGTACTTTCACTTCTCTTTTAATTTCCTGTTCCACATGCACTTGTTCTTCTTTCACAGACTCAATTTCTGCTGATGCATTGTATACGTGCTCTTCTAACTTACGGATTTCCTGCAACACAGCCCCAAATATGACATGCATGGTTAGGAAATGTATGATTTCAAGAAGTCTTGGAAATTACATTTTTAAAAACACATGATACTATAGGAATATTACAGAGTAAAAATATGGATATTAGAAAACCCTTTTTTAGTAAATGGCTAAATTGTCACATACCCTCCCTAGCCAAACAATCAACTGGATAGATATCTTCATTCATCTGTATATCCCCAAATATACAGATGCTAAGATAAAATTAAAGACTTCTCAAGGTGTTAATTTATCTGAGGTGAAGTTTCCTTACAGTGTATTTACTGTAGCAACCTCCAGGTCTACGAAAATGCTAGCTTTAATATGACATTGTTTTATAGCAATAGGCAAAGTTAAATGTCAGAATTCTCAATAATAAACAGTAAAGCTTGATTCTGATAGTCAATAAAATTGTAGCATAGTGAATTGATAATATTCTGCTTTGAAACTTTGTAGTTGGGGCTTCTTTGTTTTGGGTTAGAAATCCATGCACATGCATATGTGAAAGCACATGCCTGGATATTTATGAGGGTATAAACAAGTGAAGAATATACAATATTCTGAACTATGCTTTTAACTTTTATTGTACAATATAGTGACAGTATTTACTATTAAATATTTACTGTTAAATAATTAAAGATTGACTTATTTTTAATAATTTAGTGGCATTGAATTGCTGAATATTTTCAGATTTCATATTTAAGCTGTACTTTTCTTACAGCTTTAAACAATGCTGCAACAAAACACCACTTTGCATATACCAGTGGAGTGCTTACTTCTATTTGACAGCTTCCAGAAAAAAGAATGGATTTTATTTAAGAGACTAAACAATTGAAATATTTTTCAGCACTACCACACTGACCTCCAAATATATATGCACATTATTTCCTCTCTCTTTGTCGAGTGCCTACTGTGGGCCCTCAAATAATAGGCCATCTCAGCATATTTGAGTTTACAGAACAAGACCGGAAACATGATAAATCATCTTGACTTAATTAGCCATTCATATTATAAGGTAAGTTAAAATATTTAGTCATCAAATTTCTGACCATTAATATTGTTCTTGATTAGTTTTCCCTTTGTTTACCTAATTTCTCTTTGTGTGTTTGTATTTTCTATGTTTGAGGCACTAAGCCTTGTTGTCTACTCTGGAAATGTTTTATTTCTTTCTGTTCTGTTTTTATGTCACCTCCGTCTTCATGGCATGATTTTGTTTCATAAATATTTCTGTTTAACTGCTTAGGGATTATCATTGCCTATCTGCACATAGAAATCAACTGGTATTCATTATTCTTTAATCCGGGTAAGAGGAAATTATACTTTCTTGGTCTGAACTAAAAAAAAAAAATTAAGCTGAGAGGATTAAGGTAGGGTATAAAACCTTTAGAGCTGCTAGCTTACAACCCAGAGTATTTATTTATAGACTTATGGGAACATTCTATCACTGAGAGAAATCATGCAGTCTTTGTTTCTCTGGGTCTGGATTAAAGCACCAAGAAATGGGTACTTGAAAGGAGACAGTGAGTCCAAGGGGAGAGGTACAGACAAGAATGCAGTCAAGTCTATTTCCTAACAAATGGGGCGATGTCATTCTTTTTGATGGAGGCATAGAATTCCATTGTGTGTGTTTGTGTGTGTGTGTGTGTGTGTGTGTGTGTATACATATACATCACATTTTCTTGATCCATTAATCTATGAGGGGCATCTGGGTTGGTTCCATATCTTAGCTATGGTAAGATAATGCTGTGATAAACATAGTTGTGCTGGTAGCTTTAGTATGGCCTTGTTTGTTATCATTTGGGTAAATGCCCAAAAGTGGGATTGCTGGGTTATAGGGGAGCTCTGTGTGGAGATGTACAAAACACCATGCTGAAAATTAACTTTACAACTTGGGGGGGAGCGGGAGGGGGTGGGTAGTTGTGGAGGTGAGAGATGGTAGGGGGAGATCAAAGGAGGAGGCAACAATGCTCAATGGGAAATGTACTCATTACCTTGCTCATGTAACTGTTACCCCTCTGTACAACATTTTTACAATAAAAAATGCACATACACAAATAAAGAATGCAGTCAAGAATTCATTGTACATACCACAACATTAAAAACTGTAAGAGAAAGGGGTGGGACAAAGGAGGATGAGATTGTTAAGGGCGTGATACAGATCAAGATGTATTCATACACTGCTTTGTTGAATGACACCTCCCTTGTGGAGTTTCTTAAAAATAATAAAAACAGATTCGCTTTTCAATGGTAACATACTTTTTTTTTTGGTCAGTCATGAGGCTTGAATTCAGGGCCTTTCTGCGGCCTCTGAGATCGTTTGCTCAAGACCAGCTTTCTATCACTGAGCCACAGCTCCACTTCCAGTTTTTGAGTGGTTAATTGAATGTAAGTATCATGGGAGCTTTTCTGTCTGGGCTGGCTTCAAACTGAGATCCTCAGAACACAGCCTCTTGAGTAGCTAGGTTTCTAGGTATGAGATACTGACTCAGTGGTAACATAAAGCCCAATTTACATTTAAGTGGATAAAAATCGTTCAGATCCATGTATCTACAGAGGAGAAGTTTAGACTAGCAAGTGATTTTGCTACCTAGAAATCTGGAAACACCTATGTGTTTCAAATCTAGAGTGGAGAGCTGAGTCACCTCTGCATTTTCATCTTGAAAACCTCATGTGAGCTTCTTATCTGCCAACTTGTACTTGTATTGGAAAGAGAGTCATACATTTAATTTTTTTAATCCTATGTAATATCTATTCACACTCCCCAGATTTCACTAACACTAGCCTTGCCAGAAACAGGCATTTAATTTTTGCAATTTTATAATTCTTGAAAGAATCATAAAAGTATAATTAGAATTTAAAAAAAGAAAAAAAAAGTATAATTAGAATGAAGTATTACATCCCTTTTCATTCAAACTAATGGCTGCTCTGTCCTTAATGAGTAGTGTTCTGGTATTACTCAAACAACATTTGCTGATTTTGCCATTCATGTCATGTATTTAAGCACTTAATGAGCTAAGGATTCAGTGATCAGGAGGACTTATGGGGTATCATTCAGTGGACAAACACTCGTCTAACATGTATAAAACCCTGTGTTCAATCTCTCCTACCAGAGGAGTGGGAAATTCTAAGATCAATATAATTACCAAAGCACTGGAGATGAAAACATGATTTTATGCACATATCCACACATGTATACATGGCAGTGACAATTTCTAAATCGTGACAAGTAATTAATGTCTAAGAAACACAGCCTTTCAAACTTCATTAGTCACTTGTACTCCCTTTATAAAAAAAAAGGCCTTCCCCAAGACATAATAAGTATAGTTTATTCAAACTGAAAACATCTCATTGATAATCAGATTTTAATTGTTTCTAATAAATATGATCTGAATGTCTACTACCTTCCAAAGGGCTTCTAACTGGGTCTAAATACGTGGTGCATTTTCTGGTGAACTCCACACATTGCCAAGTCAAGCTACTATTGTTCTTCTATCCATTGTTCACCCAATGGATGGGTTTCTATTGGTACCTCTTTTTGTTCCTCCCAAGTCAGAGTTCTTGTCATCCCAATCATATTTGCTATGCTTAGATACTTATGGATAATGTGGCAAAATACTGTAAGTCATATTTTGGCAGGAGTGACATGGGAAAGAAGCAAAGTATCAATGTTGGTGTTCAAAAGTTGTGCTGAGTTGTGAACATAAAATATTAAAATTTTGAATGACTGAATCTTATAAATTACAAGTATATCACATATTCTCGTCTACTCCTAGTCAATAATTTAGTTGTTCTTTTGTCTGAATCAATATATTTGCTCTCTAAATTGTAGTGGTTAAAAAATCACTACATTAAGAAAGGGCTTAGGACTTCAGGCATTTCTCAAGTGGTAGAGTACCATTTTGAACAAGAAATCCAAGCAATATGATAGGTCCTCAGGTACAAACCCCAGTACTAACACATACATACACAGTTCTATTTTTGTATAAATATTTCTGGCATTGCTTAATAGGCTTCATATTATGAATTTGGGGCTTAGATAGTTTATGACACCGTCATATTTTTCACATGAAATTTTAGTCAAATAAGTGGAATTACTTAGATAGAAGTGGAATTTCTCCACGAGAAATATAATTTAAAAATAAACATGAGTACAAATTAATACTTATCTTAACTAGGTTTGATTACAAAATAGTTTAGTGCAGAGGTCAGATTGGGAAATTCAACCTAGACTTTTTGTGAATAAATATTTACCTTTTTGCAGCTTTTAGTCATCTCTCTACATTTTGTATCTGAATACTTACCTTGGTGCTACAATGGCTTCATCTAAGGAGATGTAAGACATCATATTGTCTGCACAGTTTCCATATGGTTCTTTACAAAGAAATGTTACTGACAACTGCAAATGATATCCAATCATTCAATGGCCTGATTTATGATAGTGCTTTATTTGTTGCTGTTTTTCTCAATGATTAATGAATATAGCTTGCAGATAAGTAGTAAACAGTATATATTTAATCTTAGTTTGATAATAAAAATACATTATTATCTTAGTAAGAGCTCACAACATAAGTTGTGTATACGTTGT